GGTCCGGTGCCCATGCAGAAGGCGCACACGAAAATCTACGCATTGCGCGAAATTCTAGTTTTATGGCCATAAAACTCCAAAATGCGAGTAATGGTCATGGCGAGGCGTTGACTATTGTTACTTAGGACATCTTTGATATGTTTGCAAAATTTTAGGCGATCCGGCTCTAGTGGCCCGGGACCATGCAGAAGGCGTAACACCAAAAATCTAGGAACTAGGCGGAATTCAAGTTTTATGGCTATAAAATGCCAAAAAATGAGTAACGATCATGGCGAGTTGTGACTATTGTTCCTTGGGTTATTTTTGATGGGCTTGCAAAAAATTTTGCTATTCGGGTTCGGTTGCACCCCATGCAGAAGGCGTGGGCAATAAAATACGAAAATTTAAAAATTGGGCGGAATTTCAATTTTATATCCCTAAAATGCCAAAAATGAGTAACGGTCATAGTGAGGTGATGAAAATTATTCCTTAGGTCATTTCTGATGGGCCGGCAAAAATTTAGGCGATCAGAGTCCGGTAGACCGGGCCTATGCAGAAGGCGATGGCTATAACAGACAAAAATTTGGCAATCGTGCGGAATTCCAGTTTTATGTCCCTAAAACGCAAAAAAATGAGTAACGGTCATAGTGAGGCGGTGATTGTTGTTCCTTAGGTCGTTGTTGATGGGCCGACAAAATTTTAGGTGATCCAAGTCCGGTTGTTCAGACCCATGCAGAAGGCGTGGGCTATACAACAACAACTACTACCCAGTATAATCCCACCAAGTGGGGTCTGGGGAGGGTAGGATGTATGCAGCCTTACCCCTACCCTGGAAGGATAGGGAGAATATTTCCAAATGACCCTCGGCTAAAGAAGGTGAATGAGGCCCTGATAGCAAGACAAATAGTTAGAAAACTAAATCGGAGATAACAACAAAGCGTGGGCTATAGCACATTAAACTTTGAGAATCGGGCGCAATTCCAGTTTTATGGCCCTAAAACGCCAAAAAAGCGAGTAACGGTCTTGTCAAGGCGGTGACTATTGTTCCTTAGAATATTTTTTATGGTCCGGATAAATTCTACGCGACTCGGTTTCGGTGGCCTGGGCCAATGCAGAAAGCGTGGGTTTGGGAATCGAGCAGAATTCCAGTTTTATAGCCCTAAAACGCCAAAATCCAAGTAACGGTTGGTGAGGTGGTGACTATTGTTCCTTAGATCATTTTTGATGGACCAGAAAATTTTAGGCGATCCGGGTCTGGTATCCCAGGCCAATGCAGAAGTCGTGGGCTATAGCATATGAAAATCTAGAAATCGGGTGGGATTCCAGTTTAATGGGCCTAAACGCCAAAAAATGAGTAACAGTCATGGCGACGTGACAATTATTTCTTTGGTCGTTTTTGATTGGTCGGCAAAATTTTAGGCGATACGGGTCCGGTGCCCGTGCCCATGCAGAAGGCGTGGGCTATTGCACACGAAAATTTGGACATCGAGCGGAATTCTAGTTTTATGGCCCTAAAACGCCAAAAAATGAGTAACGCTCATGGCGAGGCGATGACTATTGTTCTGTAGGATGCTTTTTATGGGTCGACAAAATTTTAGACGATCCAGGTCCAGGGGCTCGGGCCTATGCAGAAGGCGTAGGCTATAGCATACGAAAATATGAGAATTGTGCGAAATTTTATTTTTATGGCCCTAAAACGCCAAAAAATGAGTAACGGTCTTGGCGAGGCGGTGACAATTGTTCCTTGGGTCATTTTTTATGGGGCTGTAAAATTTTAGGCGATCCGGGTTCCGTGGCTCGGGCCCCATGCAGAAGGCGTGTGCTTTAAGCACATGAAAATCTGGAAATCATGCAGAATTCCAGTTTCATGGCTCTAAAACGTCAAAAAACGAGTAACGATCATGGGGAGGCGATGACTATTGTTCCTCAGAATGTTTTTGATAGACAGGCAAAATTTTAACCGTCTGGGTCCTGTGGCCCGGGGCTATGCAGAAGGCGTACACGAAAATTTGGGAATTGGACGGAGTTCCAGTTTTATGGCCCTAAAATAAAAAAATAAAGTAACGGTCATGGTGAGGCGGTGACTATTATTCCTTAAGTCATTTTTATGGGCAAACTTTAGGCGATCCGGAACCGATGGCCCGAATACATGCATTATTTTTATTTTGGTTGTGTATAATAAACATATTGAAAAACTAGTGTGGTACAATTTCTTTTAAATTTAACAACTGAAGATTAATTTAATGAATAGTCACTCAACTTTCACTTTATTCCATTAAGGTTATTAAACTATCCTTTGTAAATAAAAAAGTGCTCAATCTTACCTAAATGTTACGGAAGTTACTATTTTTTTTAATTAAAAAAATCTACTTCAGTTTGGCATATATCGCAAAAAGTCATTAGGAGAAACAAAAAAGATAATTTATATGATACATTGGTAAAGTTGAATTATTATTTTTTGTGATTTTTTATGGTACTTTGGTAAAATTAGGGAAAAGTATCTTACTCGTACTTACATGAAGATAAGAAATGCAACCGACGGAACATAACAATTAATAAGAGTAGCTAATCTAAGAATGTTCTTTTCAAGAATAGAAATATTCATTTATTACTTGTACTTTCTAGAGCTTAGTATATATCTCATCCATCTACCACAATCCGGGGAAGTACATGGTTAGCTACTAATAACACATATATTTATTTTTAAGTCACTGTTTAAAATGTTTTTAGTCTTTAGCCACTGCTTTAATAAACTTTAACTGCCCGGACGAAAATACCCTTCTGCTCTTGTCCTTAACATTTGAACTTAACTTCAAGACTTCAGAACTACATATCCTTAACTTTTGAACTTGTAACTCTAAGTTCAAGACTTCAAGACTACATGTCCTTAACTTTTGAACTTGGAACTCTAAGTTCAGGACTTCAGGATTACATGTCCTTAACTTTTGAACTTAACTTCAGGACTTCAGGACTACATGTCCTTAACTTTTGAACTTGTAACTGTAAGTTCAGGACCAAGTGTCCTTAACTTTTGAGCTTGTTAGTCTAAGTTCAGGACCAAGTATCCTTAACTTTTGAACTTGTAATTCTAAGTTCGGGACCAAGTGTCCTTAACTTTTGAATTTGGAACTCGAAGTTCAGGATCAAGTGTCCTCAACTTTTGAACTTGTAACTGTAAGTTCAGGATCCATAACGTAGCAGAAAACCTAACATTATTTGTATCTTTTCACAACAAAAAAAAAATATTATTTGACGATAGAATATTCATTCGTCTTATTCAACTTCTATCTGCCCTTATTAGTTGCTTCCCAATTAAATGTTACCCATCAATATTCAATAAGTCCATTCTTGAGGTAGTTGCATCTCTTGGTCGTTTACTACACTTGCCCTCCTTGTTTGGTCCTCTGAATCTTGATTTTCTTTCCAAACAAATCCTCAATTTTCTTTTCTGCGTGGTCGCCGTCTCACAGAGTTCTTTCTCCCTAACATGAAAGAGATAGAAGAAAGGGTAATACAATCTTTTCATATTAATTTTAATAGATTAGTGACTACAATTGCTAAGCATTAAAAATATTGAATAAAAAATAAATACCACTACCCCACACAATTTTTACCCACAATCCTCTATATGATTGAATCATTATAAATATAACAACTAAATTCTATCCATTTTATATTAGAAAAATTTCAATGATCAATCCTTGTTTCTTTTTCCTGCTTAGATACTAGATATGGTGGTCCGTCTTATCGAATGATACAATTTTCTTGTTAAGCAGAAGGAGAATTACAAATCTGACAAATATGTTTCGGCGTCTGGGGTTTCTTTAATAAAGTTCTTCTTTCTTAAAAAAGACATGTTCTTTCCATTTCTCGAAAGTGACATATTTGTCAGGCTTGTGATTCTCCTTCGATGACACAGAAAATGGTACCAATCGGTAACCGGATCTCCATGCGTCTGAGTCGGATAAAGAAACGAGTATTTGGTCGAACACTTTTCCGGCGCCGGTGATCTTTCACCGGGTTTTCAGGATTCCGGTGATGCTTTTTAAAGAAGTTGTTCTTTTTATTCAAAACCCCTAATTGATTATCCGTTCGAATTAAATCTTGTTGTTTTTTTTGTGAGTACGTTTCAGCTTTTTGAAACCCTAGTAAGCTGCTTCAGTTTGAATCCCAAATTTGAACCCTAAATTTGTGTAACTAATAGACCATTAAGAGCTTGCTTAAACTGTTCTTAATTGATTGGACTAATTTTTTTCTTGCAAGTAGAAACTAAATTGCCTGGTTAATTTTTTATTGGAAGTTTAGTTTTTTTTTTTATATGTGCTGTGAGTTTAACAAGCATTTCTGATTCCAAGTGATTAGTTAACTAGGCTGCTTTAATGTTCACTTTTAATTTAGTTTTCACATTTTTACTTCTTTTGCAATACTTTTTGGCGAGTCTTCAGTATTATAATGATTAGTTTCATTTATTTCCTAAAGTTTGAACTTTTTAGGTTTTAAATCCTTTATGATTCCAAGTGATTAGTTAGTTCGCTTTCAGGTGCAGGAAACATTTCTTAAGCTTCATGATAGGATATCTTAGTTACTGATTACTTTTCATATTTGCTGAAATCGGCTTGTTTAATTACATGTTATACCTGTTATGGTGCAGAATGTAGCGTCCTGTCGGGGAGAAGTATTGTGTGATTCTACCCGTTTATTTCTTGTCAATAAGTTAAGGAGGTAGTGTGCTCTCATGTCTCAGAAATAGTAAAAGCTATAGTTGACGTGCCTTTTCTTATTAAATATATGTTGAAGTATGGATACTATTATGTATAAGTAGATATTTAGAATGGAATAAACTTATCCTAGTATAGAATCTTATTATGACAATAAGATGTGTAGATGAAAATGAGCGACAGAAGTATGATTGCATCTACATATGCATCAATTGCATACCAGAATTGCTATGATATTGCCTCACTAGATCTGATGCAATGTTTACCTCTACCACCTTCTTAACTTTCCGTGTCCCCCCCCCCCAAGGGAACCTAGAATTTAGCTTCGGCACCTATCCCCTGTGACCCTGCAAATATCTAGTCAAAACCTAATGTAACAGTTTTAAAAGAAGTCAGGTTCCTAACTTCCTTAGAACTTGCTGAACTCTTTCTCTTTTGGTTGGAAGCATAGAACTACCGTATCCTTTATTTTCTCATTTCCTGGTGATTATCAGATTTATGGAATTAGGGAACATTATTCATAAAGACGATACAGGTGATTGCACCTTCGTGCTTACTAAATTTATTGGCTGGAGCTTCTCAGACACTTTGAAGATTGAAATGCCTTTTTTTCCCTTTTGGGTTGGGTTTTTTTATGCTGACAATTCCTTGTCGGAGACATTCCATATTTTCTAATTATTCTGATTGGCACTGACAACTATAACTTCTAATCTTTGTTGTTTTCTAAAGCTTGACTATGAATATTACATGTATGTGAATAATATTGATTTTTCACATCATGACGAGGAATCTCTTAAATGAGCCATGCTCTTTGAATAGGAATAAAATATGTTGTTTTCAGTTCTTCACACTTTATGGGCCTTATTTTACTTATATGATAGCCTCTTTCATATGTTTTGCAATTACCTTTTTTATTACATCTATTAGTGAGTATGCACCGGGTATGTTGTTGTTGTTAGTGTGTATGCATCTAGAAAGCAAGCTGAAGAGCTAGATATAGAACCTTGGTGACATGTCTTGCCTCAAGACTGTTAATTCTTGATTGTCGTGCTCATACTGGAGCCAATTTGCACAACTACTAAGAAATCAAACTAGTGAACTCTCAAAGAAGTCACTCTATGCAACTTGGTATGACAAGATAAAACCAAGTATGTTGTGGCAGAAAGCTTAAAAACTAGAAATAACAAGCAGCCAGAAATTAGTGGAAAGTTATTAGGAGACCTTTTAAAGAACTTCAATACTCTGGTAATGTTCAAAGTTCAAACTTAAAATCTGAAGGTGTAATCTGTTACTGCATTTTGATTAGGTCATGAAATTTTTGCAAGTGTTGCAACCGTAACGTGTTAACAACAACAACAACAACCGTAACGTGTTACGTGGACAAAATAGCTGCAAGCTTTTCAACTAACATTGTTGTTGAGGGACTCGTTCCTAGAATGTGGTGGATAAGTGTTAGCAATGAACAGTAATAGTTACTCAGTGCTTATACAATCCTATTTGTAGAGAGAGAGGGGGAGAGAAGAAGAATTCACATAGTATCGCCTATGTTGAGATTCGAGCCTTGGTTCCCAAGGTCATTACTCTTCTCTTCGACTTCTGGGCTATCCCGTTGAAGGTGTTTATGGCATATGGCTATTACGGGACATTTATTCCTCTAGAGAGTAGAGACATAGTTATCTTATCAAAAACAATTCCTCCAGAGACATAATGTTAATAGTTCTGAGCTAATAACCTCCTCCACATGTATTCCACCATTGTTTTTGCTGAAATTATAGGCTGATGATCCTCAGATTACTTTGAGGTTTGAAGTCCTTTCTTTCCTTTTGGGTTAAACAATTGGACAGTCTTTAGAGTCTTCATAGAATAGTAGTCAGCGTGAAATAGCATTAGATGTCTGGGCAACAATTAATGTATTGGTCCATTATGATAAAACTATCAAATGAACCTTGCTCCTAGCATAGGAATAATTTAATTTATGTTTTCTTTGTAAGTAAAATTGGCAAGACATGGTGATGCTTCAGATTACCGATGACATGATCCTTGATAGAAAGGTTTTGGAGGTCAAGGATTAGCGTAGAAGGTTAGGTGGTCGAGTGGTTTTTCTTGGTCTCACTAGTAGCATTAGTACATACTCTCGTCTTGTTTTTAGTCTTAGGTTTCTATTATTGCCTGGTGTTGCTTTTGTTTTGGTTATCTTACTATCTTGCTGTTTTCAATGCTTCTTTTCCATGGCTCCTCATTATTGTTTCTGCCTGTTTTCTTTTCATTATTGTTGTGATTATGCTTCACTGAGCCGAGGGTCTATTGAAACAACCTCTTTATCTCCACAAGATAGGGGTAAGGTCTGCGTACACACTACCCTCCCCAGAACCCACTACGTGAGATTATACTGTGTTTGTTGTTGTTGTTGTTTGTAAGTAAAATTGAATCAAACCAAACTGTTAAGTGTGAACACCTTGTCTGAAGTTGTTTAATTTTTCTAACTTAAAAGAAGTTCCAACCAATTACTGTAATCTCTACTTTTTTTGTATTTGTCTGCAATAACTATCTGTACCCTCTAACCAAATAATTATTGTAATCTTCTCTTTATTTATCTTCAATTAATGTAATCTTCTATTATTCAGAAGTAGTAAAATGCATTTATACTAAGTGAACGCTTCATCACATCTCACTTTCGGGTTGGTTATAAATGGTGAAAAAATCATATCCTAACACATGTGTTTAGTTTTTTTCATATCGGTCAATCTCGTTCCTTTTTCTTTCTTGGATGCTAGATGGTGGTCCGTCTCATCGAATGATAATCTTTCATGTTATATGTAAGGAGAATCACAAACCTGACAAATATGTGTGACCATCTCTAAAAGAAAGAATACAGTATTTCCTGGTGTTTAGATAGATTTTTGTCATTTCATTTACAAAAGAATGCCTGTATGTGAAAAATATGTCTTATCGCTTTCTTGAAAAAGACACATTTGTCAGGCTTGTGATTCTCCTCTAATAGCATGGAAAATATTATCAACTGGTGAGTGGACCTCCATTCATCTGAGTTGGAAAACGGAATGGGTCATTGATCGGGTACTTCTCCGGCGCTGGAGCTGGAGCACTTTCACTGATTTTCAAGATTTCAGTGATGTTTTTGAGTTGGTGAAATTGTTTTTTTCCTCAGAACCCCAGATTGATTAACCCTTTGAGTGATTCTTATCCTGTTCTATGAGTTTTTTTTTTGTGTGTGTGTGTGTGGGGATGCGTACAGATTTTGGAACCTTATTAACTACTTCAATATAATTACCAAATTTATAATCCAAATTTGCTTTTAGAAGAAGCTAGGAAGATTTTGATAATGTAATTTCTGGAAATTGTTCTTTTATTGACTGTTATGATGTATGTATCTATAAATTCAAACTCTAGAAGATTAAGTTAGCTTACTAGTGCATCCACGAAACCATAGATTGAATTATTTTACCGATTACTAGTAAGCTCTATTGCAGGAAAAGGATATGTTTCTAAAACTCGACGATAGGATTGCTTGGTAAATGATTTCATACTCATCTTTGATAAAATTTGTTCTTGTTACTGGCCTGCTATTTTTGAGCTTCTGTTTCTTAACATGTTTATGTCAGTATTATCCTATTCTGTTTTTTGTTACTTGCAGACTTTGGGTTTCCTTCAGCACTTCCACATACGGATGGCTCATTTGAAGGAGAAACTCCTGAAACGAGAGCCCATCCAAATGTAAAACCTGTCTGGATACGTCCTGCTATTCTAGATTCATAAATGTTTGAGGAGAATTGGCTACTTTGGAATTATCTTTGGTATATCTAAGGAACAGATTGCATGCTGATGATATATCTGAACAAAGTGGGAGAATGGAGACTCGTAATCCTGAAGCATTATCAGGTTTTGGTGCACAAGGTACCATACCGTCGAGGAGAAATTTTACGTACTAAATTTTACGATTATATACATGTAGGCCATAGTGTTCTCCCATGTCTCATAAATAGTCAAAATCATAGTTGGCATCCCTTTTCTTATTAAATGTATGTAAAATCTTTTGATTCTCCTATGTATAATTAAGTCGCTCTTTAGAACCAAACAAAGCTATGCTTTTGATTCTCCTACTGTAGAATTCTCGAATCTGAAAAGCTGTTTGGAGCAAACTTTGCTATACTTTTAGAACATAGTTATGCTTGATCAAATTGTCAGTACGATTACAGATGAGAATGGTGACTGAACATCACTACAATGTTTTATGCATTTTTACCTCTGCCAACTTCTCCCCC